ATTAGCATTTGCATGTTACATTCATTATTATTATTATTTTGGCTTTTTCTTGGGATTTTTTTCCCCCCTGACGGAGCAAACTTTCAATCAGACCCCAGGTCTATAGGATTTATGTTCTGCACAAATGATACCATATTCCTGAATGTCTGGAGAGCAGCCCATAGTGTTTTAACTGAAAATTTGCAAAACCATGTAATTGCTCTCTCACATGGCCTGACTCCATAGAAGACCTCTTGATTTTAACTATAGCTGCCTGACGACAGCTGCTACGCTGTATAGCATAGCAAAAATACTGAATTACCTGAGCTGGGCTTGCTTTTCTAATAGTGTAAGGAATCAATGGATTCAGGTTTGAACATTTTGCAAGAGAAATACACACTGATAGTTTTTAATGGACTAGGTATCACTCATTAAAGGTAACCTTTCTTGTTTTCCTACTGATTTCTTTTCACATATGCTAACAAGCATTAGCTTCTGAATGCTTTTTCTTGGCCTTCATTTGCAGCTATTGCTATATCTTTCCTAAGAGATGGCACCTGAAATGGAACATGGTCCTCCAAATGCAAATGCTCCATTGTTCAGTATTCCGTCGTTATATTATCTTCTGCATTATTTTTATATCCTCTTATTAATGCACCCACACACCCCATTTGCATTTTTTAACCTTTTTAAAAATGTTTTCATTACAACAATCAGATATAAGGGCAATGAAGTAAGCGTGGAACAATAGAAGTGAAGAGCTTGATTCTCCTCAGATCTATACCCATTTTAAACTTCACTGGTGACACAGATTTTGATTTACACCGAAAGGAAAGAGGGAGGATCAAACCTAGCACATCTACACTGAGACATCCATTTTTTTGTAGTTAGCAAGGAATGGTTTTGTAAAATAGTTGCAGCACACAACATGTTGTTTAGAAAAAGCACTTTTTCTTTTATCAGGAAGGAGGCTTTTTTGCAGATAGAGGACTGCGATATGGACTAGTGTCTGAAGAACAGTGCTGGAGGCCTGGATGCTGGCAGTGCTTGGCAGTGGCCATGCAGGGGAAGCACCGCAGGGTGCCCATGTGTTGATTGTGTGGTTGTCCTGCACAGGCACTGAGGTTCACCCGGGTTAACCTCACAACAGGACTAGGCAGTGCGTTCTTCATTTTGGGAGTAGTTTTAGCCATTCTAGGCTGTTACCCTCGGCACAGCCATGTCTGATACCTGCCCTGGGGAGTGGGCTGAAGGCAGGGCACCCCAGCTGGCTGCGGAGGAAGGTGGGGCCTTGCTTGGGAAGGAAGAGATGATAAGGAGAGATGGGAGGTGGCCCAAGGCACGGCCACTCTGCTATGTGTGTGCTGCCAGTGTAGAGCGGGGAACCATTGCCACCACAGCAAGCCACATTTGGGACTTCCCACTCTAAGCAGAGATGGACAACGAGCTGCAGCTGGGCACAGTGATCTCTATTGTGAGCGTTTATGGGTTGTCTGGCTGCAGAAGTGAAGTGTGTGACTCAGAACACCACCTGAGTAATACTGCTGTTAGCTAGGGAGCAGAAAAAAGGTGAAGAAATCCACAAAGCAATCGTTCATGTCTGGCTTTCTGGCAGACTGCACTTTAGCAGCCTCTTCAGTGTCTCCCTTACTTAATTGCTTGTGTTTTACTTGACTCTGGATTTTCTCCAGGAGTCACTGTTAAAAGTTATTATCTGGTGGATATCAATGCCATTGTCTCTGGAGGGACTTTTTCTCACATTATTGTTTGATTCCAGGTAAAGCAGTGAGGTACAAATGCCCTCAGGCTTCTCTTGTGTGTCTCAGTTAAGGCAGTACTTTACTTGCCCAGTTAGGCAAGGTTCGTAAACATGGGGTGTGGTTTTACAATACAGCTAATTTGATCTAATGGCTAGCTGCCAGTCAGAGAGGTGAGTCTGCTCCTCCTGCCAACAGCTTCATGCTCGTACTCTCTCTCCTACTGCAGATCCTGCTGCTGTCTGACTTTTGCTGACGCAGTCCAGGACAGTGACCTAGCAGAAAACTGTTCACTTCTTTTTTTTTTCTGGATTAGTTTTGTGCCAGACTGACATCCTCTGATGGCTTGCCAAAGTAAGATGAGCATCAGTGCTGGCACAAGAAGGGATACAGGGTTGCTCAAGAGAGAGGAAAGATAGTAATACAGAAGCATTACATTAATTAGGTTGGCTGGTTGATTGGTTGAAAATCCACACCTTTGCAACTCCCTATTTGGCTTGCACAGATCAACCACAACTGCCATCAAATGAGGAGACTTTTCTTCCTACTTTTTGATTAATAGCAAGATTTGTTTGCAGGATTGTTATTTTCATTTTTTCAGATCACTTCAAAGACAAGAAGCATTAATGGCAGCAATGGAAACACAGTAGAGAAGAGGGGAAAGCAGGAGAAACAGCAAGGAGTGGGATAGGAAGGGTAATCTCTGACAGCAGCAGTACAACATTAGATCAGTAGCACGAGGCAGTCATGAAATCATTTGCTTAGGTACTCCCAGCAGCTGCAGACACTGCGTCTAAGCCAGCCGGGGCACAGCTGGGAGAAGGGGTGATGCTGTCCTCTTCTTCCTCAGCTGGGATGCTAGGCTCATACTCTTCCCTCTGTTCCTCTGCCTGACAGCTCCCCATTAGCTCATTGACTGCAGCTGCTGGGATAGTTTGGCCCTGGTGACACCTCCACAAAGGCTGCTGGGAGCTGCATCTGCATGCACCAGCATGTCATTCCTGTACCACTGCCTGGGGACTCCTGTGTTAACCCATTTCTACATCCAGAAACAGCATGCTGATGGATTGGAGGTGCATGGAGCCAGCAGAGAAATACGTCAGGTTATCACAGCACTGTCACCTGCTGGTTATAACCATTTTCTGGGTTCTTTTGGCAAGCTTCCCCAGGGTTCAGGAGCACTCTCAGAGGAAGCACTGGGAGTCTGCATGCTGGGACCAGAGGAACTTTCCCCTCCTCAGCACAAGGGGACAAGAGGACCAAGAAGTAAGACAGCATGCTGAACTGTATAACCATTAGAAACAACAGCTGTTCCACAGTGCTGTCAATCCATGCAGGTAGAAATATGCTGTTTAATTACTATGATA